CGCGCACGCGCACGGGCAGGGGCGGGAAGGCGGGGGCGCGCGCAGGGGCTGAGGGGAGCGCGGGTGTGGCACACAACGGGGGGATTTGGAATGGTGCTCGTGGAATCACTGACTCGTGCAATCATACAGCCACGGGCTTATCAAAGTTCCAAGAGATGTTTTAGACTGTTCCGCCCAACCGTCCACCCAGCACCGCCACTGTAACCCCTGAACCACATCACCCAGCTCCAGATGCGGGCGCCTCTTAAACACCTCCATGGATGGCAGCTCCACCACCTCCCTGGGCAGCCTGGTCCAACGCCCGACCGCCCTGACTGTGGAAACGTCTTTCCTAATGTCTGATCTGCCCCAATCTCAGCTTTAGGCCAGTTCTGGTCCTCTCACTGCAGCCATCTGCCATGCGTGCTTCATGTGGATTGGTGAAGTCTGGGCTGGGACCACTTCTGCGAGTGCTGGTTTATATATCTGATACAAGGAATACTCAGGAATGGCTCCCGGTAAGARGGAAGACAACCTTGCCCAATTTGTGGGCTGGCACTGAGGCGGCTCTGCAGTCGCACACTGGCGCAATGGCATTGCCTCATCGGGTACATCCTCCTGCACCACAGCTCTTGCCATTGGCAGCTACCCACCGCCATGGCTTACACATGGAAAAACACAAACCACTCSTCAACAGCCCCTGAAGGTGATCCAAACTGATAACTGCTCATTGCCCACACCTGCTTGTTTATAGAGAGGTGATTCACTTACTGAATTCTGTCATAAAAGACAAGTAAGTCATGTTATCTTGTTTTGTCCGTGAGYTAAATACATATGTAAGTGCAGTTGTCAGAGGTTAAAGTGCACTAAGAACAGTGCCATGTCTGGAATTTCATTCTACTAAATRTTTTTGGTTTCTGTGGTACAAAAAATGCACCAAGCTGGTGCCAGTCTTCTGCTGGAGCCACAAATGTAGATGSAATTGTTTTCACAATTAAYATAAAGACAGAGTGAMATATGACATTTCAGTATTTTATTCAAGTCAGGTTTGGGTTTTTTATCCATTTTTAGTAGTGTCAAGTACAGCATTTTGGGGTCTAGTTCCACACAAAATGGAAGACTCTCTAAAAATGTACCCATTTAGTTGCTAAAAAAAAGTGGTAATTAAAGAAAACTCCATTTTAGAATTAGTGATGCAACTATGTGATTGCAGTTGCAAAGACTCTTCCCTGATTATGTCYGTTTTACAAGCTTTTCGGTCAGTGCAAGGGAAAGGAACCACAACACAGGACAGGCAGTATTGGCTGAGTCACATCAAACCTCCTCCACAAGGACTTGGACAAGGTGGACAACCTAAAGCATTCTGGAGACAGCAGTAGSTGTGGGATAACCAAGTAAGACAAACCATTGATGAAATACATATCTAAAAATAAAAARAAAWTAAAATCCCTTTTYCAKACAAGTTTGCACATTCCCTTATTGACTGAAGCCTCAAATGTCAGAACATTTTGCTTACAGAATTAACAGTACAATATAGTGGTCTGCAATTCCCAGGTTTTTATATCACATTTACACATTCCTTGTGCCACCAATATGTTAGTAGAGGTAATCAACACCTTCCTTCTTCTTGTCACGTGGCAGTTGACAGATGTGATGAACAATTACATAAAGAAAAAAAGCCAGGATTTCTTTTTTTTTAATKATTTTGTCTCCACTTCTTTAACAACATCATTTTTAAAGCTTAGCTGTCTTTAACCAGGACTAGCAGGACTGATACGTAGCAATACTTGCACCCCAGACAAAACATTGAAAGGTACACTATTTTCTGAAGGTAGCTATGCTGTATTTTCAGATTAGCAATTGGTGAAATCACTCCTTATGCTTCAAATTCCAGTCCTAGACCAAGTTTGTGACCACCTGCATTGACATTCTTGCCATCCAACAAAGCTGACAATGTCAGTTTGATACCTGAAAAACAGAGAAAAGAGAGAGAAAAGTCAGCTCAAAACTTGGARTAAGTTTCATGTTCAGGAAGTGCCATGTCTGTTACTACTTTAACTTACTGGGTAGCAAAATTAATGGGATTTGGCAGCTGGCCTTGGAAAGACTGGGCATTTTTAAACAATCTGCAGATAAGAAATCTTTCTGAATTATGAAATTTATAATAAACCATGATGATAGATTCTGCTTTTTATCACTCCGAATAATTAAAGCTCTGAGCCAACTCACTGCTGCTGGTCTACTGATTAATCTAATTTTAGAGTCCAGTATTATAAAATACTGGGACCTTGATACATACCCACCTTTCTAAACTACTTCAAAATCTGGGTATGAAAAAGCCCAAGCCCCGTCTGCTGTAATATCTCATGTCAATCTGGTCAGTATTCTGGCAGCAGATTTATTACACTACATTATAATCAATTTTGCAGCAGTAAGATTGTCCTCTTCCTGGGCCAGGAGACCTTGAGAAAGTCACATTTTTAAGAAGAATAAACTCAGTAATAGGAAGCCTCTGAAATATTAAATTCAGTTATTAATCCAAATTAACAGAGCAGTCCCTAGGGAAGTTCATCACTGGGTTGCCAAGCAGAAGAGCAATCTTACAAAACCCATCATACTTTATCACCAAAAATCTCCTGATATTTCAAGATTAAAGTATCACTTTATTGATTATGATTTTTTTCTGCATAGACCTACCTGGCTTTAAAGTCTGAGTGTATCCTAACCCAATCAGACTGGAGTTGTTCACTTTAGCCTTAAAGGGAAAAAATAAAAAGCAGTATTTAGTAATAAATAGTAAATTTATTAAATAATTTAGTATCTTTCTTCAAAGTYGTTCCCACTTGAAAATTAAACAACTTTTAAGCATGTATTTCAAGTTTTAAATCCCAAAAAAATCTAGAATTTATTTTTCTATAACGTAAATCCCAAATCTCAAAGACTCTRCAGTCACTGTAGAAAATAATGGATTTATTAACATCATTTTTAATTTTCCTCCCGACTGACACAAAACCAGTCCCAAAATAGTGCCCATTAATACTATGAAACATTCTGTGTCTCTTTTAAGGAAAATCCAATAGTTGTGCTGTCAGGCTGCCAAAACCAAAACAAGCAGATCCATGTGCCAACTACACAGCACAGAACTGCATCAAGACCATTCTCTGCTGATGGAAAGGCTGCTTTCCATTTCCATTACGAGTGCTTATTTTCCAATGCATATAAATGTACATGCACAGAACTCACAGAAAAAGAGGCATCTGGGTCAATCTGRTACTTGGCTGCTATTCCAAAGCGAGTGTTGCTATTTCCAGCTGTCCAAGCAAGATTCACGGCAGTTTCCAGTTTATCATTCACCTTCTGGTAAATGGAGCCGCCAAATTCCGTTCCATCATTCCTGGAAGGAATGCATTAGTGTAGTTATAAACAGCACCCCAAAACAATCATCTTTTATTTTTCCAGTAAGAGCTTTATTTGCACAACATCYACTTACACCTCATTAAATATCCCTGTAACAACTAAGATAGAGACATTAGGCCAGATTGGTTATGAAGTTATTTTTAGACGGTTCAATTCATTGCAATTACTGTATTTCAACGACTTCTGAAACTGAAAAAAAAAAAAAAACCACAAGAAACTAGCAAAAATTAGACCCATAATGACAGCTTCMAATTTTCCCTTTCCCATAGATGGGAGTCTTTGTGTAGAGAGATTAATTTTTCCCTGTGTGTCTCTGAAATAATTATTTCCCCTGGCAAATGTCTCCAAGTGCCCTGAAAGGGCTGTACCCCAGTCACAGASCCTGAGTCATCCCAAAGCTGCCATGTCAACATGCTTTTACCAGACACAGAGGAACTGTATCAAAACTGAAGATGCCAATTTAATGTCCAAGTCTATAGGYATTTGCAAACAAATTCCATTTGCAACAGTCCTTGTGGTACATCTGTGCTATRGTCTATGGACTAGAAACAGAAATGCAACTGATTTTGCTTTGCAGAGAGCACTRGCCCACAGCTGAATGATGAATAGCACAACTTCCAATTACTACTGCCCCCAATGTCACACGGGAAYAAAGTGTGGTAAACAAAAGGCAAAATGTTAGAGCATGCAGATCATAAAAACAAGAACAAAAGACTTCTAAAGGCCTTGCACTTCTTGTAAACCAGTGAGCATCTGAATTTCCATTTTTGCTCATTTTCTTAAGGATACAAACATATTGCAGAAAACAGATTTTTAAACCCCAGGAAGATCTGGGGTTATTTCTAAACTGTAAAATAACCTGGTTCCAATCATTAGAGTACACCAGACCTTTAGAGATTACAAAAAGGGGTAGATTTAGGACCTTTTTCCCTTTTACGCCTTTGGTCTGATGTTCCTGAGTTCGTAACAGTTGCACAAACAGCAATGRTATGCCTATTTAAAAGTTCAAGCAATAGCAACAGCCTTTTAAATTGTTAGAGCAATTCTTCCAGAAAAACACTACAATACTTACTTCAGATAAGACTGAAGCTCACATTAACTGCATGTGCTTGGCTCTCAAGAAAAGGAGGAATTAAAAAGGACTGAGGAGAGCTGGTTACACAGGCAGATTTTGTGCAAGGTTCCCACACAGCTCTGTCTTGACCTGCAACATTAGGGGGGCGGTCTGAGCTATGCTTAAAAAATGAGGAAAGTCATATTTAAAACTAGAAATTATCCAGCCCTACCTCCCTTATTTTTTTTTAATTAAATAATAATAAAGTCAAACTTGTTTTAAACACTAATAGTAATAGTAGCACTTTTCTATGCAGATAATAGCACTTTTTATGTAGATTTAAAAAAAAAAAAAGCACTAGTCCCCTATGAAAATTAATATATTAAGGCACCCTTCAAGAAAGCAACTTGCTAGAGTCCCCAGCTGGTTTGAGTAATGCCAGAAAAAAAACATTCTACAAGCACCACCTAGCTACATTATCTGCTCTGCCACAGCATCCCAGTGAGACACTGACCTGTGTAGATGCAAAAACCAAGCAGCTTAGTGAGGGGAGTTCCACGCACAACTCTTTCTGGGATTATATAAAAGCTCTGACATGTTTTCAAAGCTGAAACACATCAATCACCTTACCTATTATTAGCAATAAATAAGATTCCTATTCGGATCATGCAGYTATGGTTTTGTACAATAACAGCAACCTGTGAAACAGACCCAGAGGAATCCAAGACACAGCTAGATCTGAGCCCCTGCTGCTGTTATGAAGTGATTTTCTGCTGTTGCTTTAATTAAGAGTAATAATAATCACATCATTTTACAGCAAAAGCCAGTAATACAATGTTTTGAAATGCTACAGCACAACTAAGTTGAAAGTCATTGCACTTGAAGGAGTAACTTCTAACTCTTGAGTGGAAGGGGACCCCACATATTGTTTTGATGGAAGTTTTCTGCCCACATTTTTGTGCTCTGGCAATCCTTCAAACATACTGTCTGGGCTGTGGGGGTTCGATTGTTCTGTAAGGCAGCGGGAGCTTCCTAAACCACAYTGCTGCAAAACAGCATGCAACAGAACAGAAAGCCTTTGAAGAAGTAGCTTTAKGAAGGCAGAACAGTTGTTCAGCCCCCAAATGAAAATAGCCTGGAAYAGCTCTGCTACATACAAAATATCCAATTACCCGAGGGCATGGAAAGGGGGGGCCAGGAGAACGGATTAGGGATTGCCTAATCTTAAAAAACTGTCTTCACCAAAGGCATAAATTGCTTTTTTTAGGAGGAACAGGAGACRGAGAAATTAAGGTTTTTATGGAATTTGATAATGGTTTCCTACTGTTGATACATTCAGAAAGGACAAATGCTTGTGTAAATAGGTTATTATAAGTTGCAATATCAAATGAACTTTTACACCATATCCCTTCCAGTACTAAAACAAACCCAGTCACTGACTGTTGCAGTCACTCTCTTTTACCTGTTCTTGTTCGTCTCCTGATTAATTCTTTCATKTACACATCAAACCACCATTTTGTTTGATGTTGACAGGTACAAAAGGAAAGCATTGCTTTTATTTCAGCTTTCACAAAGAAATTATTTCTATAACTTCCCTTTTCTATTACACCACTAATGGATTCTAATAGTATTTATATGTTAGACAGACACTGGACCCTTGGATGCTCAGTGAGTTCCAGTTCCTTTCACCATACATTCCCTGACCCACACAATTCCAAGAAAAGGTAATGCAGCTAAAAAATACAGCTTGGCATCTTTAATGAAGAATTAATTWCAAATTCACCATTCCCTTGTTCACCACTGCTGAACCTCTGACCCTTTCACTGTTCAGTAAGCAGCAAAATCTTTCCGAATTCCTTTTTAGTGCCTGTCTGCCAGTACTTACACATTAGTATGAAGCTGGAATTCATCAGTCTTATAGCCAACAGCAAAGTTGCTCTGGGTTACTCTAGACTTCGCTGTCTCAAAAGTCATTTGGTAGCCTGCCAGCCACCCCTCGTAGCCAAGCACAAGGGCTCCACGTATTGAAGGACCCGCAATATCAAAATCCATGTCGCAGCCGATGTTGATGTGTTCCCTTTTGTACCCCGACTTAATTTTAGCGCTCTTTTTCCTGAAGARAAAAGAAAGAAGCTCATATCTTTGRAAAGGTACACCTGTAGGTAGAAGTTCCATCAAATCAGTTACTTTAACTCAAGTGTCATAGTTACTGAAGACAATGTGTACGTCCCTGGAGAGCCACACCTCAGTGTTCACCTTTACAAAACCCTAACTCAGATACAGTGAATTCTTTGCAAATGAGCAATAAAATGTGATGCGGTGCCCCACAATGTACTTCTGGGCCTTCTGGGCTAAATGCAGCAGCACACAGATGGGAAGTGACAAAACCATATCCTCACCTCCAACTGATATGATGGTTTTGGAAGTTTGGTTCATACAGGGTGAATTGAGACTGTAGAAGTTTAAAGGTCCACCAGAAGTCCACCAGAAGTCCACAGTAGTGGACTTGCTTGCCTGTCCCAAGCAAACGATTTTTAGACAATCCTAGTGAATTGGGTGATTTTATTTACTGTGACACTAAGAAATCACGACTTCGTCTGCAGTTTCCTGAGTAAAGGTCTCTGCTGTGAAGCAAGCAGGCTGCTTCAGTGCCTCTGACACCCTGATTTCTTCTTACTGAACTTTATGAACTTTAATGGTTACAGCCATTTACAGCCACCAGAAAGCTGCCAGATTAAGGCAGAAATAAACTGCCCTGAGTCACCTATTTATTTTTATACTATTGGCCAGAACAGTATTTTCTCATGTGTCCTTAGGTTGATTTACATCAAGGCTGCAAACCCTCACAAGGCAAGGGAGTTCTATCTAATATATTCAGCTACTCTTATTTAAGATTTTTTTCTTCTCTTTTTACAAGTGTCTTCTGTCTTTGACCAAATCTTTWCTAAAATCTTTCTGAAAAAGTCAGGCTAATATGAAATTTCAAATCAAGCTTTCACATCAGCTAACAAAAAACAACCTCCAAGAACAGTACTGGTGCTGTATCAGACCCACACAGAGACTGCTCCCGTTTTTATTATTATTAGCTCAGACTTGGGAATTTGTGTTTTGAAGAATCAGAAATAAAGTACTGGAGTGCCAAAAGCACTGATCTGCAATTTCTGTAAAAGTCAATGGTACCTCTCCCACCAATGCCAACAGGGACAGAAGTAAGAACACAGAGTACTCCTAAAAATGACTTGACTTGTTGAAAGACTCATCACAGTTGGTAACTAATAAAAAAAGGGAGAAGTCTCATATTCAGACATGGTGCATCCCTGTTGAAGTCAGCCAGGTCATACCAGGATTGAATGTCACTCCATTTACCCAAATTTAAGTCTTCCCAAGGCCATCATAACTCACATACTACAGGGTCGGTGAAGCCGGCCCAAGAAATAGTTTCAGAGCTGTAACATCATTCTCACACAAGGCTTTTTCCTTTTTATTTCTCTAARAATCCTACCAGTTAAGAAATATAAAAATCCCCTTGAGATTATTCTGATTACAAAAATATCACATTAATCTAGAATTAGGACTGTCCTGAAAGCAGTTGACAATGCAGAACACTAAATCTAAAAGGGTGAAAGTTCCCTTGGGACTATAACCTTTAGAGCCTGCAGTGAAGTCTGCTGCTCTGGGAGGCTGATGTGCAGAGTATTTTGACTCACTGGCAGCACTGCTTGCACAAACATAATCAGGGGGAAAAAATAAACCAACATCTAGACCTACAGCTGCTGCTTAATCCCTCTGGCCCACATAAAACATGGCATCCAATCGCCGTGTCAGAAATACCCATCCACACCAAGGCACGCCATGGCCAGCAARAATTCAGATGATAAATTCAGCTCGGGACAAGAGCCCAGTTCTGTGTCAGCCTATCAGAGCTGTGGCCAACTGGCTCCCGGAGCTTGTTAAGCTTTGCATTACAGCTGACTTGTTTAGTGCTTTTATTCAGSCAGCAGCTCATCTTCTGACATGGCCAGAAATACACAAGGGAGCAAAAACACAGCTTTGTCTTCACTCCCTAATTCTAACTGTAATTTTCAAGCTATTGTGTGTAAAAGTTSGCTTGCTATAGCTTAAGATTAAAAAGGATTGTTAACACTATGACTTAAGTGAGATGTACATGATTTCATCATACACAGGCTGATTATTACCTGTCTTGATGTCTCAGGACAAAAAWATTTAAAATGCTTTTCTTGCCACTTTAGCTTACTCACTTCTTACCCAGTGTTAGGAGAGAAGGTGGAGTCAAAGGTCAGCTTCAGGCCCCGTGCAAGCTGAACAGAAAAGAAATTCACTGTTGGATTTCTAATTAGAGATTGGCATAAGTGAATTTGCAAATTGCTTTTCTGGAGTGAAAAATTACCTGATCTTCAAGAGTAATCTCGGTGCCTAGTGTGTTGTCAGTGTTCCACTTTTCAGTGAACATCAATCCATATTCCACCCATTTGTATTTTGTTTCCAAACTACCACTAACTTTGCTTGTTTCTGAGTTTGCTGAACCTGAGCTTGTAAATTCCTAAAAGAAAAAAATAACATATATAATATATGTATTTGTCAGTATACACATGTATGTAATCAGGCAAACACTTATACAACATACCAGTCATTATAATTTGATAAATATCAGATAAGATAAATACAAATATATTAATTTTTTAAGAAATGTAAGTAAGAACAAAAACATTGCAATGTTTAGGATTTCAGTATGTTTCCAAACTCACCAGTCCATTTTCAGATCTTGTTTTCAAATCTAGCTTTATTAACCCAAAACCTAGAGGRTGAGTAAAAAATATGAATCACATATATGTTGATTTGAAAAGCATTTCTGATTTATTTCTTAAAACTCTCTTTTAAATCACCTGTGAGCTATTAAATAGTTAAACCAAGGGCACAGTTATCAAACCATGTGTTTTTAAGAAGCAGCTTGTACTCACTTCAGATMGCACTTAACAGATGAATCCTATTGACCTCAGCAATATAATTGGGACCAAATTAGGTAATAATACTTTTATTCATACTGAGCAGCATTCTGTTCATAAGCAAACTATTGACATCAGTGATCCTATTCATCAATACAAGGGAACAGCCAAAATACAGCACACAATTTTCTCTCAAAACCGATAACAGTTCTATRGGGAACAGGAAGAATTTTATCAAAAGGAAAGTTACCCTCCCTTTCCAAACAGCCAGGGCAATTTGCAGCTGTTATAGAAAATTCTGTGGATTCTAATGGAAATTATTAGAATATTTCTCAGGGGAAAGTAATAAAATCCTAACGATTTCAGGGATCAGGCAGACAGCAAAAGACCACATTTATTTTAGCTTTATTTACCATATCCCTTGGTGAATATATCTCTGGCAGATTTGCCTAGGTCAGCATAAGCAGGTGGAACAGCCATTTTCTGGAAGGGAAAAGTTAAGAAATAAAAGAAGGAAATTACAGTGTCCAGAAGCTTACTTAATTCATTTAAGCAACATGAAACTTAAGCCCATTTCAGCCACTTTCATTATGAASCTCCACGTAGACACAGCCTGAAGGAAGCAGCTATTGCAAACAGTTGATTTCTTTTTGCTAAGGAGCCAGCAGCAGCAATGACTATGCACTTGCCACTGAGGATGTGAAACAGGCTGCAGAGCAAATATATATTAAAAGAAAAGGAACCGTTCCAAAGAGTTAACTGTTTTCCTCTTATCAGTGGAACTGCATGAATGAAACTTCTGGTTTTTTCAAACCATTTCTCGGAAACGTTTCTCCTGTTTTCTCGTAATGGATCTCCAAATTCCGCTGTAAAGCATTAGGGCCTCAACCCATTCACTCAGGAAACGTAACCAGGACAAGCGTCTACCATCAGGAACACCTCTCTTCCCCTATTACAGAACAGCAAATGGGTAACATTTATGTCAGCAAAAGCAATAAATGGTCATTCTTGTGCTACAGTTTACTTTGACTTTGCTTTACTTTGCTTTGCTGTTAATGGGTTGTTTCCTTAGACATTGACCTTGAAGTGTTTTTCTGTGCACCTAAGACAAAATGAGCTTGCTGAGAAAAACTGAGCCTGCAGGGAAGCCAGCCTGTGAAGCCAGGCCATCAGGAGGGCATCCACAACCCTGTTTCAGCAGCCAAACAGACTGGAGCTCCCTGCAAAGGCACAGCCCATGGTGGGGACACTGCAGGCAGCTTTCTCCTCTGTTTTGTTTCTTTGGGATGCCCACTGTACCATGGAGGTCCTCTTTTTCCCATTTTCTCAGCTGTTGGGAAAACTCTCACCAGATACAGAGGAGAAAATAGGATCCTAAGAGGAACAAAGCAAGYAAATCTCCTTTTTTATCCAAGTACAATAATTTCTACTCCCTTATTCAAGGAAAGTAATTTCTTCAGGGAAACAAAGTCAAGCAATCTAAAATGATGTGTACATYTTCTATCTTTATGCACAAGATTTCCTAATTTTACACAGCAAAGGAGATAAATAATACTTAAAAAGCTAATCCTCTCAATTACCAGATGTTGCACTAAAATTCCACAGTCACAAACTTTTTGGCTATGCAAAAGTAATAGGCAGTTTACTACATACGCGTGCAAATGCATAAAAACCTGCCTGCCATTTTCATTCAGGAGTATCCCATGTTAGCAGCAAACTACTCCCTTCAATCCCACACAAACCCACTAGCTCTGGACACGMAGGTGCTTTAATAATCTCCCTGGCTGCAGACTGGGATGCAGCTCTCAGGCAAGCTCACCACCCCATGAAGATCAGATAGGGACTTCCAGCAGCCACTCAGCGCCCCAAGCACTCCAGACAACAAGCTGGTGCCTGTTAAAGCAGGCTATTGCTATTGCATAAAGGAAGAATCCCTATCCTRGAGGGAACAAAACAGATCTGGTGGCTAAATAAAAGCAAACAGTCTTTTCAGAACATAAATAAAGTAAGATACAAGGGCAGATACTATGATGTAGCTTCAGTTGCAGACTACTTGGGCACACATCATCTCTTTCCAGTTGTAGTTCAGTATTAAAATGCACTCCCAAATACACAAGCAGCTAAAGAGTTAAAAATATATTTAAAATAAATGTTTAAAAAATCATATTACGAAACAGTTGCAGCTGCGTATATTGGACCTAAATGTCCCTGCCTGGATTTGTTTTGTGAAAACATAAAAGCAGAGATTTAATGTTAAAAGGGAGGAGAAAACGGGGGAGAAAAAGGGAAAAATAAAAACCGAAAACATAAGTAAAAAAAAACCCAAATCTGTGAGTATTTTTTTTGCTCCTCATCGAAGTCACTAGAAGCAGATACAATGCCCTGCTTGGAAATCACACWCCAAAGTCAGGCAGCACTCAGGAGAGGGATGGCAGAAGCCACTTAGAGCTGTCTGTGTGCAGCAAATAATTCTGCCCTGCCAGAGCAGCCTAGCCCCATGAGAACCATTGGATGGATATTGCCATTTAGCATCATCAAAAATTAAAAATATTACAAATCCCTACACTTGAAAAATCAAACAAGCATTGCTTTGAATGATAATGCACCGCTCTGCCAGTTGCACCACAGAAACAATCAGATCTCTTTTATCAACAGTCTCTTTGAGTCCCTTCATAAAATCAAAATATTTTCTTCAAAAATGAAYGTAGTACACTTTTGGGTTGGATTTTGTCAGTCACTTTTCTCCTTTTTCCAAACCCATGAAGCCAGGTTTTGTTCCCTGACGCCTGTGTATCCTCTCTGGCTGTGGCCAGGCTCGTCRGGTGCCTGAGCTGTGCCAGGCAGCTCCTCTGCTGCAGTCTGGGCCCAGAACAGTGGGAGACATGAGAGCTCCACTTAGACAATTACTATAATTAGGGGACAATACTGAAAGCCAAATCCCTGCCGGTTGTAAAGCAAATCATGTAACACACACAGAGCAAGGTGTTTAAAATTGCTGAGTGTGGAAAATGCTAGGAGCTGGGTACCTGGTGGTTAACCTTGCTGCTGTCAGCAAGAACAAAACAAAAATAATTATTTCTGTTTGCACTGGCTAATCAGAAGCCTCTTGTTTAGCAGATGGAAAACAAAACTGATTACATCCTGTGTGAGTACAGGTTGTAAGACAAGCATGCTTAGCAGGGATTCAAACTCTTAAAGGATCAAGGAATGGCCGTGGCCGAGTGCCCTTGCTTTTCACCAGTGGGATCCCAGCACATTAACTCAGATTAAGTTTGGACTGAAATGAATTCATTGCTTTTATCCYTGTCCAACTGTGCAAATAGCTCAGCGTGACTACAGACAACTCCTGCACAGAGCGGGCCAAGTAGAGTATCTGGAATGTGTTCTAAGTGGGAAAATACTTTGGTTTTCTTGAGTAAGAAACACCATAGTGCAAGTGATGACTGAAAAAAAACTGAGGAGTTAGCCTCAACTGCTGCTGTGAGCTCACCTCCAGGTATACCCGATTTATAACTGCCAGAGGGAGAAAATGAGGAGCTCCTTTGGAGCTGCAGGCCCTGGTGAAGATTTCATTRCAACAGGCTAAATTTGAATATTTTCCAGTGTCACAGATGGCAAAGTTTTCACTCTATGATGCAGTTCTGGGCAATTAAATCAAATTCAGTCCAACAAGCAGCAAACCCATWGGGTGCCCTTGGCAAATACAAGGATTGGCTGCAACCAAAGGAAAACTCATTTTTGCTTGATAACTCTCATACATGCCTAGGAGAAAGTTTCCCTGCACAGATTCATCAAGTTTCGGATATTTACATGTAGAAAGGAGCAATCTAAAAATTTAAGGTAAGAATAAAATCCATTATAAGAATAAAATTCCCATGAAGACAATGGAAGTCTATCAGATTCAAGGCTAAGAAAGCAAAAAGGTTGGACTTATCCTCGTGTAGCCACATTTTTTTCCCCAATAAATTTGAACTCATGTACCATTTCTTGATGGTACCAGTAGCTCTSAACATCCCAGCTCCCTGTCTCCACAACCATGGAAGAATGCTGCCTGCAGGGTGGCACATTATAGYTGCTGGGAACAGCTGGAAGGGACAGACACCTTCGGTTTATGAGACCAGATGCAGCCTGTCTGCATGGGGAAAAACCCAYATGAGGGTGTCTTGCCTCAAGGTTAAAAATAATATTAATTTGTCATTTATCTCCTTCATTAAAAGAACAATTATTCCTTGGAATGAAGCGACTTTGAGGCACCTTTCTGGACCCCCAGCCTGGGCAGTGTCATTTCCCCAMCCATGAAGGATGGGGCTTTGCTCTCAGCCAGAGCAGGGCCCAGCTCCCTCCACATCCTACGGCTGGCCAGAGGCACCAGCTCCACTTGGCACCAGCATCCCTGTCCAACATCCCAGGCTGCCAGGAGAGCATGGTACTGGCTCCACACTTTGGGTTTTATGGTCCAGATCCCAAATTCCTTCAGGTCATGCCCAGAGTCTGCTTCAAATCAGGTTCAGCAGCCTCACTGTGCAGAGATTCAGGAACACACTTACCCRTAAATACATGCAGAGTCACGCCAAGGTCAAACATCGAGTTGGGCACATTCACAAGGCTTTTGAGAAGCCAGTAAAAGCATGTGGTTTGTGAATACTTGGCATTATTAGACAATATATTTAACAACATTTTTTGTCCCAACTTGCTACTGTGCCAACGTCATATAATCCATGCACCATTATGACTCAAAATTTAAGACTGGGAGTCCACAATTTCTTTTATGCAGGCATTATAAGGCCATGCAGCGTCCCTGTGACACTCGCAGGATCCCAGCCTTCCTGCTGGAGTTTTGTTCTGGAACTGCATGCATGGTGGAGCWGATTTAAAGAATGGTTTATGTAGTACCTCTGTAGCCCAATAAACAGAGGAGCATAGAGGAGAAAACCCCTTAAAAGCAAAAGTAAATATTATTATTTAGGCTATACTAATTATGGAATTAAAGAAAGAGACAGCCTGCTCTTAATTGTATGGGTATAAATTAAGAACTACAGTGTTTTATGGCAACCCCTTATAAAACTATCACATAAAAGTATCAATTAAATGAACTTGGGAAATGTAGCTACTGTAGTTACTAAACTCCAAGGGAAGAACAGCAGCACAGACCTTACATGTTAAATTAAATATTCATGTTAACTACTGTTCCTGTTAAATCCCTGCAGAGGGGGAGAGGAGCAGTGCTGCTGTCCCACCCTGTGATGCCAGCACAGCAGGGCCCAGGCAGTGCACGCCCCAGCAGCATGCTCAGGAAGGGACATGTCCCTTGCTCCTGGAGCAGGAACACCCAGTGCCAGATCAATGGGGATGAGTAATTAAAATGGAACTTTGTCTTCCAGCACAATGTAACAGCTCACACAGAAGAGGAGCATTTGCCACACCAGTCAATGGGTTTTTCCCTACCTGCAGCAGATGCCAAGGCCACAAGGGTCTGAGCTGTG